ATAAGTGCAGTCCATTACAAAATATTCTAATACATAAATCACTGAATAAAAAACATTTCTACTGAATTGGTATTTAAAAATCTGTGTGTCCGAAACGTCTTTAAAGAGACACTAAACTCAGGAGTTAAATCATACAAATGCATTAAAGTACCAAAACTGTAACTTCATTTTGTATCACTCGGCTGTAGATCCTCAAATCATCTCTGAATTGGTGCCGACACTGTCCTTCCTTCCGGAGGGGGGGGGGGGACTTTTGTTCCCCATGGTCCCTGTGTGCATTGTCAAGTAGCCACCGGTCCATTCTCACTCCTGTGATGGACTACAAGCTCAGTGCACATTAGTAAACTAAACATGCGATTGAGGTCCATCACAGGAGTGAGTTTGGAGCGGTGGCTACTTTACAACACACACAGGGACCATGGGGAACATAACTAGCCACCCTCTAGAAGAAAGGACAGTGTCAGCACCAATTCAGAGATGATTGGAGGATCTACAGCCGAGTGATACACAAATACGATTTGTATTACCAGTTTTACATTTTTAAGATTTAACTCCTGAGTTTAGCTTCACATAATTTAATCAGGGTTCCTTTTATGTAGTGTCTGTATATAAAGAGTTAATTAACCTTTTCAGTGGTATATTGGTCCCGGCACTTGAAAACTTCACTACACAGCCCAGAAGCCTGCATATTGTGATGGATCAGTAAGGCCATGTGTCAGCACTGACCAACTGGAATTTCTTCGAATGGAGTCTCACAAGAAATTCTCATTGGTTAGCCGGGTCACATGACTGTGCTTAACAAACACGGATGCTACTGCAAGCATTATGCTCTTGTTATACAGCTTACATTAAAGTTTTCAAGTGTTGGGACTGTTATGCCAGCTGGTGTGGATGGCGGGTGAAGGTCGTCTTTGCAGCCAAGTACAGCAGGGACCATGGGGGTGAGGAGGGTGCTGTGACCTAGTTCACCTTTCAGTCTGTGAAAAGGTGAACTAACCCTAACAGGTTGGGTGATATTACTACTGTAGATGCAGCAGCTGAAATAAATGGTTTAGCTATTCAGTGCAGAATCTTTTGTATATAAAATAATTGTTGTATATTCTATAAAAAGTTACAAGCCAGACAGGTCGTAGCTTTTTGGTTGATTCATACATATCCTCCGGTGTTTGTCATTAACATGGATTCCACAAATATTTCATTCTGGGGGTACAGCTGTTAATGATTTGCGAACATGTACACAGAGAGCTGCAATAATTCAAATATTAATATATATTTAAGCCACAGCCGCCACCACTGGCAGCCAATAATCACGGCTGGATCTATTTACCTCACAGCCTTCAACCAAATAAAAATAAGATACTTTTAAATATTTTTACTGAAAAATAAAAATAAAAGAACAGCAGCAGAATGAAAGATGGATGTAGCTAGAGACTGACAAATTACAAACAAGGTCAATAATAAGAATTTGAGAGAAACTTGAAACAGAAATCAAAGAAGAATACAAAACATACAATGTTATTTACAATGGTCAAATAAAGCACAATAGTGCAAGTAACCCCGCCCAATGCATCCAATCAGAAAATGCTCTCCTTACTACGGAGAGAAAAGTGTAATCTGATTGGCTGCTCTCCATGTTAATAGAAGGGCTATTCATTTATACAACCTTATCTCATCTGACCCTGTACAAAACAAATGGAACAAGCAAGGTGATACAGAATATGCAACTGCATTAAATGTTTCCAGTGACCAATGCATTATATGGCCAAATATATGTGGGCTCTGCTCAAAATTATTGAGAACTAGACATGTGCGATTCGTTTCGTTCCGAATTTTCGGAAATTCGGACATTCGGATGTATCCGAATTCCGAATTACAGATATAACGAATGCAACGAATACGAATTTCCGTTTCCCAAATTCATTAGCGGTAGTTCGTTCGAACGTTCGTTTCGTTTCCGTTTCTTATTCGGTTCGTTCGTAGAAGGAAAACATTTTTCCCCCTCAAATGTCACTTTGCTGCAAACGAACAAACTAATGAACGAAACGAATAAGAAACGAAAACGAAATGAACGCGCGAACGAACTACAGCTAACAAATTTCGTCCGAATCCCGAATCCGAATTGACTTTCACACCCGAATCCCGAAAAACAAAATAACACAAACCCGAATTTAAAACTAAACACATTTTTTGGCAGTGCACATGTCTATTGAGAACAGCTGTGTACAATGAGGTTAATGCAACAGCATACAAAGCCACTGTAGACAACTGTGCGCTTCCAACCTTGTGGCAAAATTTTAGGGAAGGCTCTTTTCTGTTCCAGCATGACTCAAAGCCAGCTCCATATAGATATGGTTTGATGAGAGTAGTGAGGAGGAACTCAAGTGGCCTACACAGAATCCTGACCTTAACCCTAGTGAACACCTTTGGGATGAATTAGAACCCTGATTGCAAGCCAGAACTTCTCATACAACATCAGGACCTGGCCTTACAAATGTTTTATTTTTATTTTTTCTGAATGGGAACTTATTCCCACAGACACCGCCCAAAATCTTGTGGAAAGCCTTCACAGAAGATTGGAGGCTGTTACAGCTAAAGAGTGGGCCAAGTATACATTATTGCCCATGATCTTGGAATAAGATGTCCAATAAGCCTATAAAGGTGTGATTGTCAGTTGTACACAACCCATTGGCCATATACTATATACATAGCTTCATAACTATGAGAGGAAGACCTAAGCTTACAATATAGAGGAATACGTGGTAGAAACAAGAGGAAAAGGAATGCAAAGGCTGTATATAAGGTGATGGTGTGTCTCTTGCTAGAAAGGAGAGACAGAAGCATTGCTGTATTTGTAAACCAGATTATATGTTTTAAAAAATGAAATGCAGCATTCATTTAAGCCCACAGTGGCAATACACTTTCTCCCAAGGCCTTGAAATAGGAGTAGTGTCCAGGACCCTTTTTGGCTCTCCTTTGCCAATATTTAAAGGTCTGGAGACAGTTGAGTAGTAGGTTGAATTTATACAATGTAGTTCAATTCTTTGACAAATACACCCCTATCAGGTGTTTCAGTAGTGTATAGTATAATGCCGGTTTCCAGAAAGTGTATATATCTGCACTGCCCATGGAGGTGAGGATCCCATTAAAGTAATCACCCTCCTGTGCAAGTACACCTACAACCAAACATTTTTTCATATTTGTATATAAAATAATAAATATAGAAAATGAAATCATGTTTTTTAGGCCTGTCTGTGCACCATTGGGGACATTTCATTTCTCTTCTTGTGCTGGAAATACAACAAGAAAAGGTTTGACTCCCCTCTTAGACAGCTGACATGACTTAAAAATGTGGGATTTCCATCACTTTCTATCCAAGTTACAATGGTCACCAGAACAAACCACAATCAAAAACTGACAGAGGTTTTAACTCTTTTCTACTCCATTTGATGCTACACCAAAAATACATTTTATGCCTGCTTAACCAGTTGACATCCGCGATGTTAAACCAATATGTGAAACACCCGGTACGGGGTGTTCGCATTGGACAGGTCTTTTCTGCCCGTGCGTGCCCGCTAGGGGGCGCGCGCGAGCAGAAAAAAAATGCCGTCTGGCGACGGCAACCCGCCACTGCAGCAGTGCCGTCCGTCCGTTTTTCTACTACGGGCGGACGGCAAGAGGTTAAAGAGACACTAAACTCAGGAATTAAATCTTAAAAATGCATTCAAGTACCCCAACTATTAACAAAAATGTGTCTTATTTGTGTATCACTCGGCAGTAGATCCTGAAATCATCTCTGAATTGGTGCTGACACTGTCCTTCCTTCTGGAGGGTGGCTACTTTTGTTCCCCTTGGTCCCTGTGTGTGTTATAAAGGAGCCACCGCTCCAAGCTCGCTCCCATGATGGACTACAATCTCAATTCAAATAAGCTAACTAAATCAGTGACGTGCAGTATCGGCCGTGTTAGGTGAGGCATTCCCCCTGCCCGCCTCATCTTTTCCTGTTGTGTAACCTGTTAGAAGCCGGTCTGAATAGAGAAAAAGCTGTCAGCTTCAGACTTGAAGCTGACAGCTTTTTCCTTCATAATAGCAGGTGAGGCTCTGCCTCCCCTGGCCGCACGTCCCTGAACTAAATGTGAGATTGTAGTCCATCACGTGAGCAAGCTTGGAGCGGTGACTACTTTACAACACACAAGGACCATGGGGCTCCTCCAGAAGGAAGGACAGTGTCAGCACCAATTCAGAGATGATTTGAGGATCTACCGCTGAGTGATACAGAAATAAGATACATTGTTGTTCATAGTTAAGGAACTTTAATGCATTTTTAAGATTTAACTCCTGAGTTTACGGTCACTTTAAAGTTAAACTGCTTTTGTTCTGAAATGAAAAGTGCTGCCTACAAATAGGCACCATGAAGTGTTTGCAATCACCTCCTCTTTTCCAGAAAAGCCTCATTAGTGCCCCTCTGGTATTGCTTTCAGTTTATTAGTATGGCTTCCACTTCCTGGTCTCTAAACATAAGCTCTGCCCCTCGTGCCAAGCCGTGCCCGCCTAATATCTCTCAGTTTGCTAAAAACGTTCCTACGGCCATAAGATTACATGGGCTGGGGTACCTTTATCTGGACCACAGTGTGAGACATCAGGACGGTAACTGTCAGGCTTCAGATAATATCTAACCTCTGATATTAATGCTGAAATGTCAAATATGTATTATGTAAGTCTGAACAATTATAATAACTTTGGATTTTGACTGAATATTCCGATTCTTACATAAGCCAAGCCATGACTGGTTCTCTTTAAGAAGGCATCTGCTGCCTATGGAGAACACGCCAATGTGACCTTGTAGGCAATTCCACAGCCAATGACACAGCACTCCTCCCTCTGAGTCAGCATGGCTGTTACATCAGTCACCATGGCTCAACATGTTTACAGTGGAAAGCATTAGTAACTTCTTACTACACAACTACAGATGAAAAAGGAAAAAAAAAAGAAGGAAAACTTAC